CCCCCCCCCCCCCCTTACAGAAGTATTTAATATATATCCAGAAAGGTGAAGTCAGGTTTGGCCAATCCCATGGTTGTCCAACTTCTTGGCTTGCCTGGGCCACAATGAGCAAATAAGAATTGCCTTGGACTGCATGAAGAACATAATGAATTTAATGTATGTAAGAAACAAAATTTACTTTTTTTTTAATTAAAACAAAAAACAGCAACAAAAACAAAACTAGTCACATGTTTTACCTTATTTTTGTGAAACAAGTGCATCAGACTGGTTTTATGGCAGTGATTACCATTCCTCGTGAGTTCTCAAGGTACTCATCAGATTTCTGTTGAAATATTTTTCTTCCTGTGCTTTATCCTTGACAATAATTATCCACAAATGTACTACTGCCAAAAAGACAGTGAACTGTGAAGCAAGGGATATTTGTCTCTGCTAAGATAGGACTTTTGAAAGTCTGGTAAAGATACATTACCAAATTCTTCATTTAGTTGAATCTCTGATTGCAACACTACACATTCCATGTGAAAATCTGCAAGTAATGTATTTATGTTGACTGAAATGGAGTTGAAATATACAAAGAAGTGACAATTTCTTTTGACATCTTGAAATCTATTCTCAAATTCCTGTATCGAAGTGTAAAACAGAACTACATATTTTTCACTGTTTACAGGACTGCATTCAGCCACTGTATCAAAATATGTGAATTACTTGCTATAACTTGAGCTTGCCATATTTACATTTCATTTCAAATGTTATCATCTGAAGCACATAGCAGGGAGTACAAGCCATAGTGCAAGATGCTCATGCCTGGCCAACCTGATAATTTTTAAGAAATGTTATCTTACTAAATATTTTGACTCCGTCCTCCATAAGATCCTCATAGAGAAACTTGAAGAACGGATAGAATGTGTAGATAGTCAGGTGGACCAAGAACAGGCTATATGGCCAGAAGATAGTAGTTTGTGCAAATTCTTACTGGAGATCATTAACTAGTGGAGTATCCATACAGGTCAATACTAAATCCTGTCCTGTTTAACACCTTCATGAATAATCTGGACAATGGAATTGAACATACTCCCATTAAGTCTGCAGATGACACAAAACTGGAGGAAGTGGCAGATTAATCAGATGTTCTGAGTTTAAATAGCATTATTTTGATAGTATGAGAGTTGCAGGCTTAGCTTCTATTAGCAGAGCCCAGAAGCTGCCACATATCAGAAATTCCTTTCCAGCTGGTTCCAAAAAGGACCTACCCCTGGCCAAAGCTGAGCCAATGAACAATGCCAGTTGTGCCTCTGTGAAAGGAGATAAACAACTAAAAAAAAACTCCACAATAACTTCTGTACAAAAGCAGCTGGGATAGACGAATGAGAAACTGTGGAGACAAACAGCAACCCAGACACCATGGTCAGGCCAGAAGGATGGCAGGAGTTGCTGCAGGCACAGAGTAGAATTCCTCCTGCAGCCTATGGGGCACCATGCAGAGCAGATCTCCACATGCAGTCTGTGGTGGAGCCCATAGTGCAGCAGGTGGATGTAGCCTGAAGGAGACCACAGCCCATGGAGAGACTTTCACAGGAACAGACCCTGGACCGGAGCTGTAGCCCATGGGTATGAGTCCAGATGGGCCTGCTTGAGCAGAGATTTTAAACTAGATGTCATCCGGAGGTCCCCCACAGCCATCCAGGGATTGTGTGATTCTGTGAAGTAAAGGTATTACTTAAATACACAAACAGTTAAATTTATAACAGAAGCATGGTGTTTGAACATAACATACTCTGTTCCCACTGTTTCCAGGTGTAGGGCTCTTATATAGTTGAAAGAGGTAAGTCTGAAATTTTTCAAAAGAGACTCTTAAATAGGATTGGGAAGTAATTTTTGCTCTATGTAATTTTCAAGTTTTGCAAGCTCTACTTTTGTAGTAATGAAGAAAAAAATCCTTCTAAAGGTTCCCATAAAAAAAAAGGGAGATGATAATCATTTTCAAATACCCACTAGAATTCACTTGAGTGAAGGAGGAAACTCAAACTGTATTCTAAGTGTCTTTTTGTTTAATATTGTGCAGGAAAATTGATGTGCTCTAATCCCCATAGAAATCAACTGTATTGAGCTCTTTCCTGATTAAGATTAGCAATACTGACAAAAAAAGCCTCTACTAATATTTAATTGAAACAAGCAAATTTTCATGAAGAGTTTTCATAGTAATAAACTACCAAATAAGGAATTCTCATATGCTTTGTTTTCAACTATATTTTTAAAGACACTGGTTTTTTTTTTGTGTTTTTTTTGTGTTTTTTTTTTTTGTGTGTGTGTGATTTCTTAATATTCTGCTTGGTAGGGATCCTGTGTTATTGCAATATATTTCTGTTTTTGCCTTTCTGCCTTCAATTCCTACTTGATTTTTTTCCCCTCTTTTTTAAAAAAAATGTGAGTTCTAATTCACTGATCACATACATGTACTGAACATGGAGTACATTATGTTAGTGAAAACAAAAGCCAATCATCTGAAATATCATTTCATGATAGAAAATTAAATATGTAAAAACAACTTCTCCTACAGGAAGCTCACTAGTCCTTACTCATAATCATGCCCCATAAGTGATGCATATACTTACAACTATAACTGAGTTGAGCAGTTTTAAGCAGTTTAAAATAAATGCACAGCAGTGTCATCTACATCTTATCTGAAACACAGGAAAATAAGCTGCCACAGGATATATCTATTTTAATGCAATACAATACCATTACATGGTCTTACATTAATATTATCTGTACATACAAAAATCAGTATTTAATTTGTATTTTTTACATTTTATTACTGTGAGATTATCAGTTTGATTATAGAAGAAAATAAATCATAATGCATTTAATGGAATATTTTAGATAAATTCTATTACTTTAGCTTGTAGAACATTAAAAACTGCTGAAGTGTTTGTTGCTTGACAACAAGAAACATAATTAAACTCTAGGTTACACTTAACTGCAAGATGGATGGTACTCAGTCACAGCCATTTTAAAGGACCAACAAATAGCAAGGGTCAATGTTACAACCTAGATAATTACTAATCACTTACTAGAAAAAGGGCAAAAATTCTATTATTCCAATATCTTGTATACCCTTCTCACACACAGACAGCTGAATTATGTTGCATATCTAGCATGAAGCACTACAGGATAATTTACACGATCAGGTCTTGCACTACTGGAGAAGTTAATAAAGCACCTCATAAACTTCCCTTCTGAAAGATATATGGTGCTGTTCATCGTTGATAAAGAGTAGCTTGGATTGAAATACCTACATGCATCCTGGTCCCTGATCTCTCTGGACAAGCTGTTATTTATACTGTGCAAATAACATTGCCTTCCACATACACTGCAGTACAGTTGTTAAGTAGAATACATATTACATACTGGCAGTCTTTGAGCACGTAAAACCTACATTAAAGAGTCACACAAATCTTTGTAAAATAACATTGCATAAGAAGATATTTCATTATTACACTCCTATAGATGCATAAGGCAGTTAATTTTATCTTCCAGCTTATAGGCAAAGAAGTGTAACTTCTTTTGAATTAGTTATTTTTTGTTTTATCTTTATCCCTTTACAGCTTTAAGGGAAAGGAAGATTAGCGCTGAAATAAGTTCTAATGGACATCTGCGTGGACCATTGGAGGGGAGAGGGGAGGAGCAACAATAGTTAGAAACCTCTAGCAGGAACCTAGTCTCTTTGGACCTAGACCCTTCACTGTGATCATAATTAGCCAAAAGTTTATTAAAAAAAAATAAGGACAGCATAATGTTAGTGTCAGATCTTTTACATGCTTATTAGAAGTTATACATATTATCATATCAAGCTAGTAAACTTTCGGTCTTAAAGATAAAAATCACTTGTGATTGATTACATCATCTTTTCCACAAGATAATGAGCTGTTCACAACCATTATTTTAATTATGCATCAGAGTAATCTAGTTAATATTCCTATCCCATACTACTTACCCTCACATTTTATTTGACACATTCCCAGCTGGAACACAATGGAAAACACTGCAAAGCAGCAGAATAGCAAAGTCCAAGACTGCAGGAAGTAAGGACTTGCTCAAATGCAACAGATACGGGCATTCAAAGAAAAGAAAAGAAACTACTTACATTCCAAAGGTCTCACATACAGAAAAAAAAACCAAGACTTCCAACAAGATCACCTTGCCTCCACTGCCAACTTTTAAATGAGGTCAGGGAGGGGGTGGATGTTGACTCCACCCCTTCTAGTCACTCAAATGTATTGCATGCACTGAGGTCCTCTGGGTTGGCCCTGCCTTCCTGTCAGAAGCTCAATCACTGGTTCAAGCTATGACATAGCATTTCTTCTACATCACCTATTTCTGACTGAACATATGATTACAAAAACATTCAGGCTGCAAAAAGTTCCTTGGGTGTGTACTAAATTCTGAAGAAAAAAAAATATTTCTATTTTATTAATATTTCCTTCTGGAGAAGGCCCACATAGTAAATACTAATTCCAGTTCTGACAGAGGTTACAATACACAAGGACTTCATATAAACCTCAAAGGCAATTTTATATATATTTCAATTTCTCTATAAAACCAAACTGCAGAAGAAAAGATGATTAAAAATGGCTACTTTCACTGCCATTTGCACATTCATTTATTCTCTGAATTGTGGAGTTTTGTTTTTGTTTTGTGTTAGTTTATCTGTTAGTTTCTTTTATTTTTTTTTTTTTTTTAATTGTAGAGGAATGAGACAGAACTGCTACAGCCAGAGATCTTTTAGTCTTTAGACTAAAACAAGATATGTGCAGGCTGATTTTCAACAATATTGTTTTGTAAGTTTTTTCCCCCCAAAATCAAATAGTCTAAAGTTCTTTACCTGATAAGTATTAATTAAATCCACGATTCTCTGTTTCCTTAGTAACAATTCATAGTATCACTGACATTCCAGAGAGAGCAGCAGGTGCAAGAAACCGTAAAAATGAAAAATCTTATTTTGCCAGTTACTTATGAAATATTAGATTAAAGTATATATTACCAGCTTCCTACTGAATTCAGTGCTTTCTAAGTGCAATCCTTTATCAATCTTTTAAACAGGTATGTACTGCCAGACTTTAATTCAATAGATTTTTTCTTTGTTTGGAATTCCATATTTCTGTGTCATAGGATCATGTACTTGCATCCATCCTTGTGATAAGATACAATTCTGTGTTTCAGAGTCACATGCATAGTCCTAATATTATTTCAATATTCTTTCAGAGGTGAAATGTTCGGTTTTTACTTTTTGTTGTTTTTTCACGTAAATTTGTGGTATTTGTAAATTTGTATGGAACTACAGAGTGCTTTAGAAACTGAGGAGATTGAATCAACATCAGCTCTGCAGAGAAAAATAGTTTTTACAGAGTAATAGCAAAAATATGCAATCAAGGTAGATTAAAAATGGAAATTGGTAGGGCATTACATTCTGTAGTTCAACATATGAGTCGCAATGTTTTGTTTGTATTTATATTATAACTACATTTCACAAGAATCATTTAGCATTATAATTCTTTCTGCCAAAGAGAAGTCAGTTTACATCAAGACAATGTTTTTTAAAAAATAGGGTTACTGAGTAGGGTCAGTTGGATGACAATGAAAGAAACAAGCTCATGTACTGCTTCATTGACTTGGTAGAAGGATGAATACGACCCAAATGTAAAGAGGCAACCAGGCATCAGATATCAGATTGGACTACCAACATCCTTATCTTATGCAACATTTGATGTTGGCTTCATTTCTAGTAAAGTGACAAAAGCCACTAATTTGTATAATTAAAACAAACAAACAAACAAACAAACAAAAAGCACCTAGAAAGTACTGGAAAAGTATAGTAGAACTGAATTATAACCAGAAAAAAAATAGGTCAAGATAAATAAATGTGTAAATTATCGACATATTACTTTAATTAGGGTGTTAAAAAGAATTAAAAAAAAAAAAATTTAAGTTGAAATAGAATTCTATGTTTCATGATTATTTTTTTTTTAATTCACTGTAACATTAAAAATGACTAAGTGAAATTTTCATGTGAAGAGATAAAATCAAAGTGTTGATTTACACCACCATATAAATATGTCAGCTCAGTGACAAGTTTTCCCCTCTGCTTGGCACTGGTGAGACCCCACCTGTAGTATTGCATCCAGATATGGAGCCCTCAGTACAAGAAACATCAAGGACAAACAAGCAAAAATCAAAACAACAAAATCAAAAAACATTTCTGGCAGTGATGTCTAAATGTTTCTTGAACTCTGGCAGCTTGGTGCAGTGACCACTGCCCAGGAAGCTTGTTCCAAAGCCCAACCACCCTCTGGTGCATAACCTTTCCCTAACACCCAATTTAATCCTCCCCTGATGCAGCTCCATGCCTTTACCTTGAGTCCTGTTGCTGTCATAAGAGAGCAGCACTTAGCACTGCCTCTCTGCTCCCTCATGAGGAGCTGTAGGCTGCCATGAAGCTTCCCATCCATATTCTCTTCCCTGGGCTGAACGAACCAATGACTTCAGCCTCTCCTCAAAAGTCTTGTCTTCTAGAACCTTCACTCTCTTAATAGCTTTCCTTTGGTCATTCTCTAATAGTTGTATATCCTTCTTACATTGTTGTGACCAAACCCACCCACAGTGCCTCAAGGTGAGGCTGCACTAGGGCAGAGAAGAGAAGGACAATCCCTTCCATCAACAGCAATGCTATACTTGATGCACCCTCAAGGTATGGTTTGCTCTTTTGGCTGCAGTGGTACACTGCTGATTCATATTTAACTTCCTGTCAGCCAGAACCCAAGATCCTTTTCCACAAGGCTTCTCTGCAGTCCCTTGTCTCCCAGTCTGTACATCTAACCAGTGCTGCATCACCCCAGGTGCAGAATCACTCTTGTTAAAGTGGTCAGTGATTTCTCTGCCATCTGTGTTGTCAAGATCTCTCTCCACGGCCTGTCTGCTCTTGAGAAAGTCAACAGCTGCTCTTAATTTGGAGTCATCTATAAATGTACTTTGTGTATCTTCAAGTCCTGTATTCAAATCATTGATGATAGCATTAAAGAGAGCTGGCCCTGAAATGGAGTCCTGCAGAACTCCACTGAGTGAGTGGCTGCCACACTGATGTTAAACACATTTACTATAACCTTTTGAGCCCAACTCATTAACCAATCCTTCACCCATCACATTATGTTTTAATCTAGCCATGTGCTGGACTTTTTGTCAGAAAGTACACTGTGAGAAACAGCTTAAGTTTGCTCAAGTCAAAAAGGTTACATCAACTGACTTCCCTGGTCAACTAGGTGGGTAACCTTGTCATGAAAGGAAATTAAATTAAAATAAAATTTTAAATTAAAATAATTAAACTGAACTTTCCCCTTGTGAGCCCATGTTGGCTGTGACCAATTTTTTGCGTTGTCTTTCACATAAATCCCACAGTAATCTCCTCCATAATTTTACCAAGCACTGGGGTGAGTCTGATAGGTCAGTAATTAACGGTCTTCTTTCTTGACCTTCTTGAAAACTTAGACAACATTTGCCAGCTTTCAGTCAGTAGGAACCTTTTCAGATTGCTAAGACTGTTGAAAAACAATTGAGAGAGTTATTGTGATGGTATGACCAGTTCTCTGAGTACCCTTGGATGAATCCCATTAAGACCCATCAACTTATATGCATCCAGGTGGAGCAGCAAAGTCTGCAAATGTTTAGTGTTGAGTGGAAGTTCATCAATACCACAGTCATGGTCCTTCAACTTAGGGCTCTGAAGAGTTGAAGACAGAGGCAAAGAAGGCATTTAAATCTCCATTTTGTCTGTGTCTCTATTTTTGAGGTGACTATCTTCATAAAAAAAACGGACTAATAATATCTACAGTCCTCTTTTTGCTATTAATATATTTTAAAATCTCTTTTTCCTTTCCCACATATTGCTAGCCAGCTTAAACTAAGTTTTGGCCACTCTAGTTTTCTCCTTGCTATGGAGAATAGCATCTCTGTAGTTCTCTCATGCCAACTAATCTTTTTTCCAGTGGTCACACAATTTCTTTTACTGTCTAAACTCTGAAGAATGTCCCTGCTCAGCCAAGCCAACCTTCTTCCTTATCTGATGATTTCCAACATTTTGGAATTGCCTGTTCTCGTAGTCTTAAAAGTGACCTATCAATACAAGCCTTCTTTTTTTCTTGATGCAATCGGTCAGGTTATGGGGGATGCACTCACTAGCCTTAGGTGACTCCTCCAAGCTGGATGTACTTTTATTATCATTTTTTGCCTCACAGCTATTGTGTAAGAATCCCTTCGGGTGCTGAAGTAGGCAGGAAAGAGATTTGCCTCTCCCCAAGTAGATTTCTGTCACCAGGTTGAGCAGTTTTTTTGTTTTGTTTTGTTTTTTACCTCTGTGCACTGTCCACAGGTGCACTTATGCTGCCATCAGATACTGATAGGAAGCTCCAGCACAACCTAAGACCTGAATGGCAACATGTTCCCTTGGGAGCTCTGAGTAGGTGCATGTGTAAGTTCCTGTGGTTGGAAAAGCCACTGAAAATGCAGAGGACATGGCTTTTTCTGAATATCATTACTGGAGCTCATTTAAGCCTAGTAAACATAAGAGGAGAATATCCACAATGCTGTTTCTTCCTAACATCTTTAGTTTTTAAAAAATAATCTCTCCATCAACTCACCCAACTAGCTCTGATGTCAATGACCTAGAAGTGTCCATTTTCATCCTCAAAGGAATAGTTCAGTAACTGTCTAAAGAGTCATGAGAATTACATAGTAAAATACTGATCACCTTACTGACTAGAGCTAGACCCAAATTATTCAGCAATATACTGTGGTCCTTGAACACTCAGTAACAGATTGCATAGTGATTATCCTTGATCTGATAATTTCCAACAAATTCTTTTAAGTTTTCTGAGATGAAATTTAACAAATGTGCTCATTCTTATTGTATTTGGGAACAATGTAGTAATTTGTAGGGACTGAAAATTAGATTCTTTATTGAATTTAGATAATTAACTCACTAAATAACTAAATCAGTCTAAAAACAATGTTAATTATGCAGTAGGTGTTTTCTTAGCTA